CTAACAGTTCTGGTTTATATAGCAGCAGGGGTATTAGTTAGCTTTTAGCTTACAGTTCTGGTTTATATAGCAGCTGGGGTATTAGTTAGCCTTTAGCTTACAGTTCTGGTTTATATAGCAGCGGAGGTATTAGTTAGCCTTTAACTTACAGTTCTGGTTTATATAGCAGCTGGGGTATTAGTTAGCCTTTAGCTTACAGTTCCTGTTTATATAGCAGCGGGGGTATTAGGTAGCCTTTAACTTACAGTTCTGGTTTATATAGCAGCGGGGTTATTAGTTAGCCTTTAACTTACAGTTCTGGTTTATATAGCAGCAGGGGTATTAGTTAGCCTTTAGCTTACAGTTCGGGTTTATATAGCAGCGGGGGGATTAGTTTGCCTTTAGCTTACAGTTCTGGTTTATATAGCAGCTGGGGTATTAGTTAGCCTTTAGCTTACAGTTCCTGTTTATATAGCAGCGGGGGTATTAGGTAGCCTTTAACTTACAGTTCTGGTTTATATAGCAGCAGGGGTATTAGTTAGCCTTTAGCTTACAGTTCTGGTTTATATAGCAGCAGGGGTATTAGTTAGCTTTTAGCTTACAGTTCTGGTTTATATAGCAGCAGGGGTATTAGTTAGCCTTTAGCTTACAGTTCTGGTTTATATAGCATAGGGGGTATTAGTTAGCCTTTAGCTTACAGTTCCTGTTTATATAGCAGCGGGGGTATTAGTTTGCCTTTAGCTTACAGTTCTGGTTTATATAGCAGCGGGGGTATTAGTTTGCCTTTAGCTTACAGTTCTGGTTTATATAGCAGCGGGGTTTTTAGTTAGCCTTTAGCTTACAGTTCTGGTTTATATAGCAGCGGGGTTTTTAGTTAGCCTTTAGCTTACAGTTCTGGTTTATATAGCAGCAGGGGGTATTAGTTAGCTTACAGTTCTGGTTTCTATAGCAGCGGGGGTATTAGTTAGCCTTTGGCTTACAGTTCTGGTTTATATAGCAGCGGGGGGATTAGTTAGCTTACAGTTCTGGTTTATATAGCAGCAGGGGGTATTAGATAGCCTTTAGCTTACAGTTCTGGTTTATATAGCAGCGGGGTTTTTAGTTAGCCTTTAGCTTACAGTTCTGGTTTATATAGCAGCGGGGGTATTAGTTAGCCTTTGGCTTACAGTTCTAGTTGGGACTGATGCTGAAGTCTTAAAGAGTGCAACAGAAAAAGTAACACAAGAAGTCCAAAGAATGAGAAAGTGCATAGAAAAAGTGTTTATAGATGAAGATGTCAACATTCATGGTGAAACACATAGACATATCATTGGAAAAGTAGGACAAAACATACAAAGATTGAAATTGGAAACTGAATTAGATTTTGAACTATCCAGTATCAGCACAGGCCTACTTGTTATTGGTACTGATGCTGAAGTCTTAAAGAGTGCAACAGAACAAACCAGTACAAACCAGAGAGAAACTGCATATAAAAAGTGTTTACAGATGAGGATGTTGACATAAAGGAAGAGGTCATTTAGAATTGAAACTGAGGTATAACTCATTGACCCCTGAAGACACATTTGAACTCTTCTAATTCCAATTGACCATATAGTGCTATAAAGTTTTTGCATATAAATGACATTTCACCAGAAACTAACTGGTAGATTTTCACCATCATTCCCAAGAAATTTATACTTTAGAAAGGAGCTGATCCCATGAGGGCTTGGCAAATATAAAATTCAAGGGGTTAAGCTCACTTGCAATTGATCAAATGTACATTCTCTATCACCTAGAATATGTCATAACAAAACTGAAGGCATGCAGTTAGCGGTTTGATTGGTTTCAGGTAAAACAAAAAATGACCAATTGCTAGGCTGACACCTGTCCTTTAAAGATTACAGAGGAGTGACACTCGACCTCAATCAAAGCTGGTAAATTTTACCCTGATATTGTACATGGTTCTTCTGATGTACATCAAAAGGGAAAACTTGTACTCGTATCATCCACAAAGGGGTGTCTACAGAGACTTTTTGTTCTGTCTTGACATAATCCAAGGGTGCAAAAAACATTGAGAGTATATAACTCTTGAATTTCAATTGTTTGTTTGGGTTTAACATCCTCGCAACGGCCAGGGTCATATGAGGATGTGTTTAGGTGTTGCAGTTCAGTGTTCAATAGCTTGCTTGGCATATCATGACTTCCACGACAGATGTTGACTGTTGATTGACAATCTTACAACACAGGGTTTCCAAAGATGTGGGTTGATGAAGATTATGGACAAATATTATGGTTGCCATCTTGATATCAATAGGCAAATATTTCTTTGTGTGCTACAGAGTGCTTTGTTTCTGGTTGTGCTCATTAGTGTGCCTTGTTGTTTTGTCGCTACCTTTGTTCTTGTTATGAGGACATGGAATTTCTTGGATTTGACATAGATTTACATGGCGGGTGAGGACGATAAAGCGATTTATTTCAGATTTATATCGGGCAAGGTAAAAAATAAAACACAAAAAAAGTCATGAGTTTGCTGATGAATTTTAATGATAGTTGAATAATACAATCACCACGCTCACATCTGGTAATTTCTCGATGAAAATGTCATCAGGGGGTATAGTAACACATAACATATCAAATATGAAATGTTTTTGAAAATATAACATGTCTGTAATTGTCTGAAGAAGGAAGCGTAGAGGAATATTCTAGAACACAAAAACTTATTTTTTAATATTCCTATATATGAAACAAAATCTGTGTGAAATGTATTACATGTAATATCTTTTTTAAAAGTTTGTATTTAATTCTTTTTCTCTGAATGATATTGAAGAAGTGAGAATAAATTATGCTGAAAATAAAAATGAAAATGAAATTCTGACATTTAATATTGATCAATATTTTATAAAAAGAAAATGAAATGCTTACATAGTTGGTGTAATCTCATAAACAATAACTGAATTTATGTCTGTACAAAAGTTTGAAGGACCATATTTCTATAACAAAAAGGACATTAATTTTTATCTTCTTTGTGATTAGTGTACAATTCAACCAGAACTACCCGAAGGATTCTGAGAAAAATCTATCCCTCCAAATAGAGAATATTCGATTTTATAAATTTAAATGAAATTAAATTCAAATGTACATTTAATTATTGAAAACTATTTAAAAAATAATTGAAATTTAAATACCTGGTATTTTCTCATATTACCGGTATATTGAAATACAGTTAAAGTTGTTTGAGCCAAACGTGCTTAAATCAAATGGAGTGGCTGAATCAGATGTTTCCCTTGGTCCCAATGTTTCTCCCCTCTTTATATTAGTAAGTTTAGCACTGCATGGTGTCTCGAGCTATGCAGAGTCGAATATAGGGGTTGTGTTGAGTATACCACCCCAAGGTATGGGGTTTATTTTCGTAAAGAGTTTATTGAAACTATAGTAATGCCGAAAACAAATCAGTCACTCACATGTAGTTACCGTTTTTTGGCATTGGTACGGGGATCCTTAAGGCGAAGATTTTATGCCAGGTGATCATGGCTGGGTTTCCCCAGAAGCTGATGAAACATTAGATGTTTTTAATGTCCTTCGGTGATAAGAAATGTTCAAATTGCACAATATTTGCAATTGTAACTCATTTCTTTTTTCTTATAAGTGCCCCCCCCCCCCCCCCCCCCCCCCCCTTCNATTCATTTTCACCAAAAATTTCACAATCTTACTAATCCTTTCATAAATTAGAGTGACACAGTTTGATAATGAGGGCATAATGATGAGGATGTTGAGATATGAATATGATACTGGAATATTTATAACATCATTATTAACATACTCAAAGATATGATTTTGCTCACTTGAAACGACAATTTAATTTGTTCTTATATTTCATACATTTAATGAAATAAAAATAAGATGAAAACACATTACATATACAATACTGAAAAAAAAATACAGCAATAACCTACCATAAAATACGATACAGAAATACAAAACGTTTAAAAACAATGAGTATCCGTATCATTGTAAATGAAATATCAATGTTGACGTTGAAATTGGAATATATTTTTCCAAAATTTTGTAAGTGACAGTTTATTTCTAATAAACAAGAATCTCTTTGGTCTGGGTTGAGTATCAATGGCTTAAAAGACATGCAATTTTTGCACTTCAAACTGAACAATTGTGAAAAAACCTCTACATCACATTGTTAAAGATACAAAAACTATTTAAACTTTTATTGCATTTTTTTTTGTACTTTGAAACTGATTCATATACAACATGTTATTGATAAGTGTTATAATGTTTTTTATGGTACAGAAAAACTTGTATGAGAATCATTATTCAAGTTTTATGAGAATCAAATTTCAAATGTTTAAATTCATCTAATTATGAATCATTTTAAACTGAAACGATAGTTGAGTAGACAAAGTATTTTCAAAAATCACAAATAAAAAATGTCCTTATTAAAAATCACAAATAATAAATGAATGATTTTATATTAAAGGGCATAAGACATCGATATGAGAAATATTCTTTGTCCGATAAGTAGTCATCACATACTAAAAACCTAGGAAAATATTATCATAGCCTGCTTCATAAGTTACTGTGGGAACATAATGATTTTAATAATACATGTATACACAATTCAAACATTCGATCTATCCAATTTTCATCGAGAATGTACAATATAAACAAAATCAAGAATATTGAAGCATAACAAAAATATTACATTTAATGCGTATAGTTGTGAAACATTGTAAACCTTAACAAATAACGAAGTAACAGTTACGTAATCAGTTAAGTAACCTTTCTAATTGAGACCATATCAATAACGCTTGTTCATTATTCTCCTAGAAACATGACCCAAGGCTGGGCTGTTACCCCTCTTTTCATTGGCTAATTTGAGTAAGGTCAGATTTGACCTCTGACCTCTCATCCCTGACCTTATGCATATTAATGATGAGCACATAAAAAACAATTAAAAACAAGAGGCCCATGGGCCTTAACGGTCACCTGAGTCTATAGTATTTATTTTTGTTGTTGAAATATGTACCANTAACAATAGCATACACACACTCTCCTTCACTGAAACACATATGAATATATTAATGTAAGGTTTTCTGGGGTATTTACACACTTCACTTAAACAATATAAATCTCTTTAAACATGTCATCTTCAAAAGCAAAGTCAATAATTTTATTCTAATCAAGGCATTGGTCACTACATTATTAAATCTTTACAATTTGTGACCTAGAGAGTCTTCCCAGTTTTCTACTGTATACAGGCCTTAAGGTAGAGAGTCCCATCACTTTTCTATTGTATACAGGCCTTAGGTAGAGAGCCCCATCACTTTTCTACTGTGTACAGGCCTTAAGGTAGATAGCCCTATCACTTTTATACTGTATACAGGCCTTAAGGGAGAGAGTCCCATCACTTTATTACTGTGTACAGGCCTTAAGGTAGAGAGCCCCATCACTTTTCTACTGTATACAGGCCTTAAAGTTAGTCCTATCTCTTTTCTACTGTATACAGGCCTTAAAGGTAGTCCTATCTCTTGTCTACTGTATACAGGCCTAGGCCTTAAGGTAGAGAGACCCATCACTTTTCTACTGTGTACAGGCTTTAAGGTAGAGAGCCCACCCCTTTTCTATTGTATACAGGCCTTAGGTAGAGAGCCCCATCACTTTCCTACTGCATGCAGGCCTTAAAGTAGAGAGCCCCATCTCTTTTCTGCTGCATGCAGGCCTTAAGGAAGAGAGTCCCATCACTTTATTACTGTGTACAGGCCTTTATGGTAGAGAGCCCCATCACTTGTCTACTGTATACAGGCCTCAAGGTAGAGAGTCACATCACTTTTTTTACTGTATACAGGCTTTAAGGTAGAGAGCCCCATTTCTTTTCTACTGCATGCAGGCCTTAAAGTAGAGAGCCCCATCACTTGTCTACTGTATACAGGCCTCAAGGTAGAGAGTCACATCACTTTTTTTACTGTATACAGGCTTTAAGGTAGAGAGCCCATCACTTTTCTATTGTATACAGGCCTTAAGGTTGAGAGTCCCATCACTTTTCTACTGTGTACCAGCCTGAAGGTAGAGAGTCCCATTGTTTTTTTTACTGTATACAGGCTTTAAGGTAGAGAGCCCATCACTTTTCTATTGTATACAGCCCTTAAGGTAGAGAGTTCCAATACTTGTCTACTGTATACTGGCCTTAAGGTAGAGATTTTCACCACTTGTCTACTATATACAGGCCCTAAGGTAGAGAGTTCCACCGCTGGTCTACTGTATACAGTCCTTAAGGTAGAGTTCCACCACTTGTCTACTATATACAGGCCTTAAGGTTGAGAGTCCCATCACTTTATTACTGTGTACAGGCCTTTATGGTAGAGAGCCCCATCACTTTCCTACTGCATGCAGGCCTTCAAGTCGCGAGCCCCATCACTTTTCTACTGTATACAGGCCTTAAGGTAGAGAGCCCCATTTCTTTTCTACTGCATGCAGGCCTTAAGGTAGAGAGTTCCATCTCTTTTCTACTGCATGCAGGCCTTAAGGTAGAGAGTCCCATCACTTTTCTACTGCATGCAGGCCTTAAAGTAGAGAGCCCCATCACTTTTCTGCTGCATGCAGGCCTTAAGGTAGAGAGTCCCATCACTTTTTTACTGTATACAGGCCTTAAGGTAGAGAGCCCCATCACTTATTTACTGTATACAGGCCTTAAGGTAGAGAGCCCCATCACTTTTTTTACTGTATACAGGCCTTAAGGTAGAGAGTCCCATCACTTTTCTACTGTATACAGGCCTTAAGGTTAAGAGTCCCATCACTTTTTTACTGTATACAGGCCTTAAGGTAGAGAGTCCCATCTCTTTTCTACTGTATACAGGCCTTAAGGTAGAGAGTCCCATCTCCTTTTTTACTGCATACAGGCCTTAACAACCAGCCAGATTCTTTGTCAACTTACTGGGGATCATACAGCCGGTGCTGCCATATAGGTGCTCACAGCTACCATTTAACAATTCCAGCACTGCCAAACCTGAGCCACATTCTCATTTATAGCTGAGTAGAAAGGTGGAGTAACGTATCTTGTTCAAGGATATAACACAGTGCCATGATGGGATTCGAACCTGTGACCCTTTGGTCACGAGCCCGGCATCCTACCACTAGATTACTGTGCATCTCAATATAATGATATATATATGAGGCCTGGAGATCCAATCCTTGTGGAGAAGACGATTTTGTGAAAAAGGAAAGTACAATGAGTATTAAATGAATTTCTTTTGTATGTAATGCTATGCTACTGTAAATGGGCAAGCATCTCCAAATCAGAAAACGATGCTGAACAAATTGGAACTCTTCTTGGTTGGAGATTATATACAGAGCCCTGGGAATCTCTACCTTAAGTACTGTACTAACTACACTTTATAAGTGCATGTTCTTCATGAAAGTTGGTTGTACATTTTTGTATAGGGTTTATGCCTGTCCACTGCTAAGGTCATTTCAGGACATTCTTCATCAAATCATGTTGATCAGTACTGTATAAACTATTAATTTTAATAACTAGGTTTCTTTTTTATATTTTATGTACAAATGGAATGTTTTGGTACAATTAAATAATCTCACTTTGTGTCATTTTCTGACCAAGACAATAAGGTTTTGTACAGATTGATATTGTCAACACTGTTTACTTATTAATCCACCTTAGTTTATGGTATCAAAACCTCAAATATACCAAAAATTTGGTAAAATGTACTTTTAAACATTCATCAAAAATGTAAGGCACATTTGCTGAAAATCTTAGATGTTTGTTCTATCTCTGGATTAATCTCACATCTTTAAGCAATACATTTGTGCATGTTAAGCTATTGTAAAACGCTTCCACAAGAATAGGTTCACAAATAAAATAAAAAATTGAGTACTTTTTCTCCGTCTTGCATCAATTTAAAAAGCACTGCCATAGAGAAGGCGCTGTTTCCAGTATGTAATTAGTACCGTAGTTCCTTGTAAACATACTTCTGACTCACCGAAATACCTCACGCCCCAATACGTCATATTTTGTTTCTTTGTTTTGCATCCTGACGAGTTACATATAAACAAACATTTTTTACAGTACAAAAATAGATGAGGACATAAAAACCAATAAAACATCTGTACATCATAAAAGTATCGTAATTTGCGTGCTGAATTTTTACGCAAGACATCATCATGGCACATTACCGTATTTTGTGTATCACATATTACATTTATCAACTGCAAGTGAAGATTATGTATACAAGCGTTATCACTGCGTCATCACTATCTAGCTGGAATATCTGCATTTGTGTCCATGAAACACTATTTCTCACTTTTACGTCTGTTTTTATGAATTACTGCATTCTGCATTTGCTAGCATTATTAAACTTGCGAAAATTATGTACACAAGCGTTACTTCTGCGGCATCACTATCTCGTTGGAATATCTGCATTTGTGTCCATGAAACACTTTTTTTTATCTTTTCCAGCCGTTATTATGATACAATTATCATATTCTGCATTTGCTAGCATTAGTGATCTTGCAATTCTTTTTTTTTTTCCCAGAGAAAAAATAAGATTTTGCGTCAAATACCTTTAATGATCAATCTCACTAGAAAATTCTTAATGGATAATTTTATGCCTGGTCAGGTTCAACCATTCTTGGTCCTCATCAGTTCAAAGGCCCCTAGAATGCCATCTGTTTAGATGACACAGATGCTAATATAGTTTATTGTTCATGATCCACAATGACATATATATAATCTGACAATAAATATCTAGGGCATCCACAAGAAAGTATTATTGTCCCCTGACAAACAAAAGTTTGAAGGCTGCCTTACTGCTGCACTGAATGACCTCCGGTGAATTCGAGTAAATCGCTTACATGTTGCTGAGGACCAGTCTATCGGCGTTGAATCAGTTGTTACAAGGAACGTCATCTTCAAGGTATTTATATCAGTATACATTGACCTAGAACATTCACAATAGTTAGATTGGTGGTCGGTGCAGCGTAATGTAACTTTTACAAGCATGGTCAACATAAATACGTCACGCTCGATAGCTAGAACATCATATCGGAATGTGTTGAGCTATTAATCGACCACTTGTTTAGACAGTTCACCGGTCGTCACAAGTCCTCTCGAAGTTTAGGTTGTACTCTATGAAGGGGTTGGCTGTATCCTCGGGACGAAGTGTGCACGGAGAATTCTGGTCCTGAAAAAGCAAAATGAAAGTGAAATTTCATACAAAGCATGTAAATAACATTCTACTCTACTCAAAATAATATAATAAATTTATACATGGATGTCAACGTTATGCAATGTAAACTTGTATCAGGGGGCGTAGCTAGCCCTTATTCGGAGTGGATTCATTAAGAAGTGGGTCCAGGGCAAGGCCTTGGTAGGGAGACAAGGGGATGCAACAAGCAGTGTAACTGTTTTGTTTTGTTTTTCTGTTTGAAAATTTGATGGATTCTTCTACATATAGGCAGCTACGAGCCTGGGTATTGAGTATATAAGGCTAACTATGGCAAGCAGCTGTGAGCCAACATCTTATATTAGGAATGTTTATGGGGAAATTAATCCACCTCTTTTAACTTTCCAGCTTGAGACATTTACAGTAAAAAGAGGTACAGTCAGACCTCTGTTTACCCATTCACCCTTAAAGTCACATTTGAACCTTTCCAAATCACAGACTGGACAAGTCCAGTTCAGATATGTAGTGGTGAATGAGTTAAGCGACCATCATCTCGAAGTCCTGAAAGTGGTCTTGAACCTTAATTAATGCAACTGGTCTCTTAGTACAGGTTCAGTCCACAAACATCATTAAAATATTGAACATTACAAATAGTTGCTTAATGCAGGTGGTCTTTTAATGGAGGTGGTTGCATGAACAGGTTTGCTTGCACAAGGTTCTTAATTAATAGTGACATTACCCTGGATGTGACCCTGAAGCGGAAGGCGCTGTAAAAGTAGCTCCCAATAGGCATCTTCCACTGTAAGGTAAAACATACAGCTGATTATAATAGTGTATTAACATGCTTTATTTATCCAGTAATAAGCCCATGCCTGGTAATAAGCTCACCCATATATGTTGCAGTTCAATAGAAAAACCAACAAATGCTATTTCCTTGTCGTTGTAATAGGCCCACTTGTATCTAATACAATTCAATAGAAATGCCAACAAATGGTAAGTTGTTGTCCCTGTAATAAGCCCACCCCTCCTAATTCTTATGCTTCTAGGCTTGTAGTGACAAAACCCCGTAAAAAACACTAATCTTACTGAATGAGCTTTAAACTAACATTAAAATTTCTGTATTTGTGTTGAAAGAGCTATAATCTAACAAAAAAGTTTATGTGTAATACCGACATACCTCATATTCCGACTCGTGCTGTATTTCCATCTGACCAGGATTCACAAGGCAGCTTGTTTCAGAAACATTTAAACACATGGAAACGGTCATATCTGTTTCAAGGCTACAATGAAACATAATATATAAATTATCAAATTTATTCAATGAAACCTTTAATTTTACTTATAACTCCTTTACTACAACAAAAATTCACAAAATAGAACCTTCTAAGCAGAATTATATTATTCTTGAAGCAATCATCAGAATACCTACCATTATAATATAATTCGGAATACATTGGTGTTGTTTTGAAAAGATTCAGATTAATTTCAGCCATCTTTCACTTCTATCAAAGTTTGATTTGATATCACAACCTGAACCAGAATTTAAATGTAATCCAATTTGTTAGACGTTTAAATCTAGTGGCAAGGTTACCCTTGGAAATGTAAACATAGCAACAATGTAATTGACAACATGTGTCAATTATCTGTCCTACTGCAGGCAAAACACAAGAAAATTCCACTGCATTTTTTGTACATAAAATAACCTCCCAAATTTCATCTAGCGCCATTTTACATAACACAGGTGGTATTTTTTTGTCGATTTATTCATCATATTTTGTTTTGGTACAACAACATATGACAGCATACTGGGCTGATCCCCAGATAAGTACGACAAAAAAACTTACTTGAACTTAATGGTAACCGGTTCAAATCCAAAGTATTGGCTCAACCTCAGTATGTAGGTCTTGTTAGTATTCGTACAGTTACTGCAAAACTTGGAGTCAAACTCAAAGTTCAGCTCTTTAAGAAAAACTGTTGCCTTCAGCTGGTCTGTAAAAAACACAACAAAAGCTCAACACTTATTTGAAGAATTTAAACATATTAACAAAATACTATAGTTAAAAGCCAAAAACTGCAATAGCCTAAGCATTCTAAATTCAGAGAATATCCTTCAGATAAATCAATAAAATTTAAATACTTTTTTTTATACTTCTGGAAGATGTTATTTCTATGTTGTCATGATCTTATAATTTCAATGATACTGTCTAAAGTGAAACCTGTTTAGAGTGAAATGTGTCCATAGTGAACCCGACTACAGTGAAACCTGTATATAATGAAATGTGTCTAGTGAAACCTGTATATAGGGAAAAGTGTCTGGTGAAACCAGCCTCAGTGAAACTTGTGTACAATGAAATATGTCTACAGTGAAACCTGTATATAGTGAAATGTGACTAGTGAAACCTGCATGCCATCAGTGAAACCTGTATATAGTGAAAAGTGTCTGGTGAAACCAGCCTCAATAAAACCTGTGTATAGCGAAATATTTCTATAGTAAAACCTGCCTACAGTTAAACCAGTCTCAGTAAAACCTGTTTATGTTGAAACCTGTCTATAGTGAAACCTGCTAACAGTAATGCTCATCTACATTGAAACCTTTATAAAGTGAAATCTGTCTATAATGAAAACTGTCTACAGTGAAACCTGACTACTGTAAAACCTGTCCACAGTAGTGATGTCCAAAGCGAACACAGCAGGGGTCTGAACTTTCTTAAAGACAGGTTCAGAAATGCATAGCTTACTAAAGATCTGGTTTCAGTATAAAATAGAAATGCATGCAGCGGTATCTAGCTGAATGTCTGATTTATACACTTTCACATATTAAACAGGGTTCAGTTGAAATTGAACATGAATGTTTATCGGTCAACTCCTCGTACCTGTTGTGACGAAGCGTTTACGTCTGTGGGACACTTTGACCTCGTTACTGTTGGTGTCGCCGTTGTTATAGTTGTAACCCTGGGTGTCCGTGTTAGACTCGTCAATGGTGTTGACGATCACATTAGGTTGCTGATCCACGGGCTTCACTGTCTATAAGAAATAGGCGACATCAGAAAAACATCAACACAGACATTCGAGTAAAATATCCCTCTTACTCACAGAGATCACAAAGGGGATGTGGATTTGATAAACAAAAAAGCACTATTTTCATTTTCTCCCTAAATCATGTTTCTTGTCAATTTGGAAATTTATAAAAATGGGATAATGATTCAATTGCTGTTATTGGAAATGGAGACATGCGTTTAGTCTAGAAATTTCTGTCTTTCCTTGGAAAAACAGTGCCTTTCCCTTACAATCTATCTATCTATATGTTATACTCCACAGAGACCAAAATGACCTTAATGCATACTTTGTATGTGGGTGAAAAAAATAATAACAAAAAGTTATGGTTTGAACTTTTTCAAAGGTGTTAAACTCAAAGACGATAACAAGCTCTTATAAATGACTTAGGAGGCTGACAATCTTACCACTGGTACTGTGTTGTCCTGTGGCAGGGCATTGCCAGTCTGTTGTGAAGGGCGGGGTGTGACTGGGCTGGGTGTTACCGGGTTGTCTGTGATCAGGCGGTAACTCGGGTTACTACTGTTTCTCTGTGTGTTGTTATCAACAGACTGAGGTACGGCATCTGTTGCAGGGATATCATCATCTGACGGAGAAAAAGACCATATTAGGATTTGAAGACTTTTTCTTAAGCTTAACAAAGGAAATTTGAGTAAATAGTAGCAATTTCTGAAAATATCTTTCCAAATGTTGCAGGGACGTCCTCATCTGACGGAGAGAAAGACCATATTAGGTTTGAAGACTTTTTCTTAAGCTTAACAAAGGAAATTTGAGTAAATAGCAGCAATTTCAGAAAATATCTTTCCAAATGTTGCAGGGATGTCCTCATCTGACGAAGAGAAAGACCATATGAGGTTTTGAAGACTTTTTCTTAAGCTTAACAAAGGAAATTTGAAACTTTTTTTTTTTAAAGAACAGCAGCAATTTCTAAAAGTATATTTCCAAATATGGCAGGGATGTCATCATCTGATGGAGAGAGGACAAAGGGAAGGTGGTAATGTTTGGATGGAGGTAAACAGGGATTAAGAACAAGACTCACTTTCAACATGGTTCCTGTTATGATGCGTCCAGGGCACATACATCGGCCCTTCCTGATCATGCTGTATCGGAGGGGGACAGCACTGTCTCTCGTTACAGGTTGTGTTCGGGTCACACTGCGGGTACGGAGGAATGATCAACAGTGGTGATCTCGCTACAAAGAAAGAAATATACATCATATCATCAATGATCTCATAATTAACCTAAAACGACTGAATGAATCAGATTGTTCATCTAGACAGTCTTTAATTAGAGACGGTTTGATAATACAAGCTGTTAAATAATTTAAAAAAATGTCTGATAATATAAGCTATTTTTATACCCCCGCAACGAAGTTAGGGTGTGTGTTCTGGAATCACCCTGTCTGTCTGTCTGTCTGTATGTCTGTCTGTAGGTCTGTCTGTCGTCCACAGTAACTTGTCAGTTCAACTCCTCCTTAATTAACAGGTGGATTTCATTGACACTTTGCATGAATGATCAGTATCTTATGCAGTGGTGCACCGGCATTTTAATTTTGAATTTTGACCCTTTTTGATGGAGGTATGCCCCTTTGTGTGAAATACTTGTTACTGGTGGAAGACTATGGATTGCTTTGCAATGCTTTGCCTTAGTAAGCCTTTAACTTATAGTTCTGGTTTATATAGCAGCGGGGGTATTAGTTAGCCTTTGGCTTACAGTTCTAGTTAAACACTTCTAAGATGGCGAGTTAATAGATGATTTCAGGAGAGTTGTCTCCCTTGGAACCCTGACGGTGCCAACTACAAGACCTCGTACAGTGATAAATCTCAAACTTATAGTTCTGAATCCCTAGTCCCTGTGAGCATTGTCCAAATTGTGTTATCTCAATATAAACTTTATCTATCTTAAAACAATTTTGCCAACTTATATTTTAGAGTCTAAATATGAAGAAAAATCTGAACATCTGGAAAAATAACCACTATAGTCATGCACATAGCCCGATATTTTTTTATATTTAGTCAAGAAAGTGAATCCCTGCCATCTTGGTGAAAGGTGACAAGCCATCAACAGTGCTAACTGACCATTCTCAAAGTCTCAATGAAACCAATTGGACTTCATCATGTTTAGGTATAGTCAAATCGCAACAGCTGAACTGGCCATTAAATCTTATAAAGGAGATGCCTAGTATATATCAACTATAATCAAGTCTATTGGTGATAGTAGTAATGTTACTATTGAAGAAGACACTCAGAGAAGTACGATAAATGATATAGAAGGGTATGATTAACAGATTCGGTCCGTTGAATACATCTACCAATACTTACTAAAAGAAGGCGTGACCATATGTGAAGTCACAACCGCTGACTCTGATGTAACAGGCGGTACAGGCGTGGTGATGACCCCAAATGGACCACGACTGGACATATTTTTCCCGCTGATTGGTCTGGGAAGAACAAAAATAAGGGTCAACCATTAATTATTACAGTCCTATTATATTAACAGCTATGGTCATTTAAAGTCGCGAGAGGTTTTGTTGGTGGAGGAACACTGGAGTACCGGAGAAGAACCACCAACCTGCGGTAATTTCCCAGGCCTGCTCCATGAAGGCCTCCAACTATTGACCTAGTAGTGGAGGGCTAGTGATCATTGACAGTCAGCACCTTAACCACTTAATCCCCCGATTCCTAACAATCATATTGTTGAGACTTTTATCATGGACCTAAATATGTAGTGTAATGATATTCCACTCAACAGGTTTGCATCCCATAGAGTTCATTCATAATAAACAGCAATACATTTGAAAGTTTTGAATAACCATTAGAAAGTTAACTCAAGACACAGGCAAATTGTGAATGAAAAACAAAAACAAACGGAAATTCCTGATTTCAATTGCAGTTGCCTTCCTTACCCCAAACTAATTACTAATAAATTCAGTAAGATCTTATATAAGCCAAACCCAATGTCCAGTCCCAAGCCTATTAAAAGTGTTGAAATTAAAACTGAAATGTTAGAATATTCACATGAAATTGTCAACACTTTTTTCATGAGTATGACAGGAGAGTTCGAATGAAAATCATTTACTTGTAGTCGTGCAATCTTATCGCTACTGGTTGTGAAATGACAGAAGCTTGTACAAGTGTGTGTGACCATATACGTACTGTGAGTGCCCGGCGTTGAGACTGGGAGTGGCAGAATTGATGTAGTTGTGGTTGTTTGTGACATTACCCGACTCTTTGTTCCGCTCCATTATGTACAAAATGGTGATGGCAATTAGGCTGTAAAAAAAATTAATAGTTAATATTATAAATATCTAATTTACATTTACTGACCAATAAAACTTACAGATAATTTTTAATATATAAAAAAACACCAAAAAACCCATTACATATTTGACTGATCTTGCTTTCAAGAAGTCTTACAATATTTATTCCCATTTCCCCTTTTGAGAAAAATATCATAGATGTATATCGTGACCTCCCTACAAAATATTGTGTATCGTACAGTATTCAAAATATCGCAATATGTCACTGCAGCCCTACCTACACCACTTTCCCTCATTATTCATTTGCTGGTATGCAACACTGAGTTCCCCTAATTCATTCTATTAACAGCTGTTCTGGACAAGTAGTCTTTTAGATTAAAAGCTGATGATAAATAATGGACAACAAATAAATAACAGTTGTGGCGCAATGCCTTAAGCTTATTCAGGCCAGCTGAGCTAAAATAGTACTCTGAAATGGGTAATTATGCCCTCGTCAAATGCTAACAAAGTCATCCCAGTTGCTTCCCCTTCCTTCACTTACCAGAAGGCCATAATGAGTATAAGTGTGATGATTGTGAGCTGTATGAACCGATTACTACACCATCCTTGGCTGTCTGTCGAGGTGGGGGCGGGCCGAGGGGTCCCGTTAGAAGACTTGTGCTCCTTGTAAGGGACGGAGCGTGAATGATGTGGATGGCGTTGGGAGGTTCTTTTTGGCATTGAACTGGAATCATACACAAATAGATATTTATTAACTTGAACCATACACAAAGAGACTTTAATGATCTTGAAACCATACACAAATATTTTATCAGAACCGTAAACAAACAAATATTATTGAATTGGAACCATTTTTCAGTTATGGACTTTTTGTTGTAGTGATTATATGGTTATATGGACCTGAAAAAGTGATATTGACTGTCAGAGACAAAGTTAAGGTCAATATCACGCTACAGCTGACTTGTCCCTTACCTGATGGTACTGACGCTACAGCTGGACTTGTCCCTTACCTGATGGTACTGACGCTACAGCTGACTTGTCCCTTACCTGATGGTACTGACGCTACAGCTGACTTGTCCCTTACCTGATGGTACTGACGCTACAGCTGGACTTGCCCCTTACCTGATGGTACTGACGCTACAGCTGACTTGTCCCTTACCTGATGGTACTGACGCTACAGCTGACTTGCCCCTTACCTGATGGTACTGACGCTACAGCTCACTTGTCCCTTACCTGATGGTACTGACGCGACAGCTGACTTGCCCCTTACCTGATGGTAATGACGCTACAGCGGACTTGTCCCTTACCTGATGGTACTGACGCGACAGCTGACTTGCCCCTTACCTGATGGTACTGACGCTTCCGCTGACTTTTCCCTTACCTGATGGTACTGACGCTGCAGCTGGACTTGCCCCTTACCTGATGGTACCGACGCTACAGCTGACTTGCCCCTTACCCAATGGTACTGACGCTACAGCTGGACTTGGCCCTTACCTGATGGTAATGTCGCTACAGCGGACTTGCCCCTTACCTGATGGTACTGACGATACAGCTGGACTTGCCCCGTACCTGATGGTACTGACGCTTCAGCTGACTTGCCCCTTACCTGATGGTACTAACGCTACAGCTGACTTGCCCCTTACCTGATGGGACTGACGCTACAGCTCTCTTGCCCCTTACCTGATGGTACTGACAATACAGCTGGACTTGCCCCTTACCTGTTGGTACTGACGCTACAGCTGACTTGCCCCTTTCCTGATGGTACTGACGCTTCAGCTGACTTGTCCCTTTCCTGATGGTACTGACGCTACAGCTCACTTGGCCCTTACCTGATGGTACTGACGCTACAGCTACCTTGCCACTTACCTGATGGTACTGACAATACAGCTGGACTTGCCCCTTACCTGATGGCACTGACGCTACAGCTGGACTGGCCCCTTACCTGATGGTAATGTCGCTACATCTGACTTGCCCCTTACCTGATGGTACTGACGATACAGCTCACTTGCCCCTTACCTGATGGTACTGACGCGACAGCTGACTTGCCCCTTACCTGATGGTAATGACGCTCCAGCTGACTTGCCCCTTACCTGATGGTACCGACGCTACAGCTGACTTGCCCCTTACCTGATGGCACTGACGCTACAGCTGGACTGGCCCCTTACCTGATGGTAATGTCGCTACATCTGACTTGCCCCTTACCTGATGGTACTGACGCTCCGGCTGACTTGCCCCTTCCCTGATGGTACTGACGCTTCAGCTGACTTGTCCCTTTCCTGATGGTACTGACGCTACAGCTGACTTACCCCTTACCTGATGGTACTAACGCTACAGCTGACTTGCCCCTTACCTGATGGGACTGACGCTACAGCTGACTTGCCCCTTACCCGATGGTACTGACGCTACAGCTGGACTTGCTCCTTACCTGATGGTACTGACGCTACAGCTGACTTCCCCCTTACCTGATGGTACTGACGCTTCAGCTGACTTGCCCCTTACCTGATGGTACCGACGCTACAGCTGACTTGCCCCTTACCTGATGGTACCGACGCTACAGCTGACTTGCCCCTTACCCAATGGTAGTGACGCTACAGCTGGACTTGCCCCTTACCTAATGGTACTGACGCTACAGCTGACTTGCCCCTTGCCTGATGGTACTGACGCTACAGCTGGACTTGTCCCTTCCCTGATGGTACTGACGCTACAGCTGGCCTTGTCCCTTACCTGATGGTACTGACGCTACAACTCACTTGCCCCTTCCCTGATGGTACTGACAATACAGCTGGACTTGCCCCTTACCTGTTGGTACTGACGCTACAGCTGACTTGCCCCTTACCTCATGGTACTGACGCTACAGCTGGACTTGCCCCTAACCTGTGGGTACTGACGCTACAGCTGCCTTGCCCCTTACCTGATGGTACTGACGCTTCAGCTCACTTGTCCCTTACCTGATGGTACTGACGCGACAGCTGACTTGCCCCTTACCTGATGGTACCGACGCTACAGCTGACTTGCCCCTTACCTGATGGCACTGACGCTACAGCTGGACTGGCCCCTTACCTGATGGTAATGTCGCTACATCTGACTTGCCCCTTACCTGATGGTACTGACGATACAGCTGGACTTGCCCCTTACCTGATTGTACTGACGCTACAGCTGACTTGCCCCTTACCTAATGGTACTGACGCTACAGCTGGACTTGCCCCTTCCCTGATGGTACTACTGATGCTACAGCTGACTTGCCTCTTACCTGATGGTACTGACGCTACAGCTCACTTGGCCCTTACCTGATGGTACTGACGCTACAGCTCTCTTGCCCCTTACCTGATGGTACTGACAATACAGCTGGACTTGCCCCTTACCTGATGGGACTGACGCTACAGCTGACTTGCCCCTTACCTGATGGTACTGACGCTTCAGCTGACTTGTCCCTTACCTGATGGTACTGACGCTACAGCTGGACTTGCCCCTTACCTGATGGTACTACTGATGCTACAGCTGACTTGCCCCTTACCTGATGGTACTGACGCTACAGCTCACTTGCCCCTTACCTGATGGTACTGACAATACAGCTGGACTTGCCCCTTACCTGATGGTACTGACGCTACAGCTGACTTGCCCCTTACCTGATGGTACTGACGCTACAGCTGACTTGCCCCTTACCTGATGGTACTGACGCTACAGCTGGACTTGCCCCTTACCTGATGGTACTGACGCTACAGCTGACTTGCCCCTTACCTGATGGTACTGACGCTACAGCTGACTTGCCCCTTACCTGATGGTACTGACGCTACAGCTGGACTTGCCCCTTACCTGATGGTACTGACGCTACAGCTGACTTGCCCCTTACCTGATGGTACTGACGCTACAGCTGGCTTGCCCCTTACCTGATGGTACTGACGCTACAGCTGGACTTGGAGCTAACTGTTGATTTGATGCTATCAAATCGTTTCAGTTTGGATAATTTTGTATTCATCTTCTCGAGCTCGTCAATTCTGACCTCAAGGTTGTCTGTTAGTTTACAAAGTTCTTTTACAGCTCCAACATTTTCCATAAATATGCGTTCCTGTAAAAATAATGTCAAATCAGTAATATTCAATATTATTTTCACAATTTCATTTTCAAATGTTTGTGTGTTAATATTGTGCACACGGGCAGGAAAGGACATATTCAGAATAACTGTGTTTTATTTAATCAAATAGATTTTAATGAAGATATAAACTGTGTAATGAATTTTATGAAATTTATCATTACAGCAAACATCTTTAAACAATACAAAATGCATAGTAATTAAGCGGAAGGCAAATTTATATTGGGCAAAAAATGCATTTTACTGTAGAAGGGTGAACATTTGACTGGACGAAAATTTCCGGGCGTACAGTATCTCGCTTAGTAAAATTGTCAATGACACAATTCATTAATGTCATTAAAAAAAGGATAAAATTACAGAAATAAGCTTCACAGCTATCGATTTCAAAGAACATATGTCTTCATTTCACAAAAACTCACAAAAGCCATATAACAATGAATCAGAATGTGACGGGATGAAGTGATGGACATAGGTAACACAATATTCTTCCCTACAACATGGCGGGGGCATAATTACCAGCGAAACATTACCTTATTTACGACGAGAAGATTTTGTATTTTCTGACCCCCTGGTAGAAGGACATCGCCTGTTTCCATAACAGCATCAGGCAGGACCTCCCTAACTTCCTGTGCGATGACTCCAGTATCTCCTCGCTTGTCCTCCGGGATTCCCGCACTCTCGGCAAAGTCTGGACTGTAGTTATAATGGTAAATCTTCATTTGGGAAACCTTCTTGAGCTGGTCCTTGGAGTCCATCTGATTGTAATACAAGGCAAAACAATGGTAAATACCGGTAACAGGGATGACCTTTGAATTGGTGTTGGCCCTTACTTGTAGACATATATTTATGTATGCTGTGCATTTATTTTCAATATATTTCAATTCATATTTTTGAAAAGAATGCTTCTTCTTAACTAATTCACCCCTGATGACACATTTATACCCTCCCAATTCAAAGGTTGGAATAGTTCATTATGAAATTTCAGGGGTGAATGAGTTCAAGGTCCCTGTCCCACTGCACTGTGTGTTTTTCTATATACAGTGACTGTAGCACAGTTTGGTCTTGTCACCTCCAAGTAAAGCAATTTGATGTCCGGTGTTCAAATCCTGGTCTAGCCCCACTCAATTATTTACACTCAGAACAACACTACAGTTGATTAGATTTCGTTCATTTCTACTTTATAATTTTATCATAAAGGTCAGGTTTTTCTTTTTTAGAAATGATTAATCAAAGCTATAATCATGCTGTAAAAACAGTTTACAATTCGTAGCTACAGGTTTTGGCAGCAATACAGGGATTTCCCAACATGCCAGTATATTTCTGTCTATATTGCCTTTCTTGGTTTTTTTTAAAGTATCATTAAATCTAGGAATATGTTTTTTGCTTTACAGATAGCGTCATTGATTGAAATTTGGTCAAATTCCTTACACTCCTTTCCTTAAAGTCTTTTAATCTCATTTGCTTGTTAAATAACCACTCATTAACCACATTAATATTTGATCTATTGAGTAATACACCCCACAGTAATGGTTTAATCCCCTGACCCCTTTTCTAAACTTCACAGACTAATTCCTCGAATCAGAGTAGTTCCCCCTGCCACAGAGTATTGGTCCCCTTGCCATACCTCCTTAAGGTCCTCTTTAGCTCTGATATCTGATGGCTGGAGAATGCGACCGGTCAGTTTTATATTGCCATTAACGGTCAGCGCCTCGTCTAAATGGTCAGTGTTGATTCCAACCCTACCCTCGTGGTAAACTCCGTTGGGGGTTTGTGCCTTCTGCCATAGCACGTCAACGTCACTGTCAAACTGGCCAGGATTGGATGCCTGTAATTAAATATTGTAATAATCTAGGTTAAAGGTCAAAGTAATCATAACTGGATACTGGGGTTTAGTTCAGCCTAATCAGAAATTATATTAACTTATTTACCCCTAAAGGCACAATTAAACTCTTCCAATTCAAAGGTTGGAATAGTTCATTATAAAGTTTCAGGGGTGAATGAGTTTAAGTAAAAAACCATAAAGTAACTTGGTCATAGATTTACAATTTTACTGATGGAAGCAAAATACTTGAGGTTAACTCATTTAACTTCAATTTCTATAAAAAAAAGTACAGCACAGTTTTATACTTCAATTTTCAGAGCTGTGAAATATTGTCAAACACTATACAGAGCTTGAAACCTGTAACACAACATCACTGTAGCAACATATTGACACTATGACGATGGAATTGTTTTTGGTCCATTATTTTTATTCCCAAGCATGGTAATCAGGTATTGCCAGGGATTGGGGTCCTGGAATAAATATTTCTAACAGTATGTGTCCTCTCGTAGGTGGATTTTTTTTTAGCACAATACAGTGACGTGCCACACATTTTTTCCAGAACACTACAGTGACGTGCCACAAGTCTTTTCCAGCACACTACAGTGACGTGCCACAAGTCTTTTCAGCACACTACAGTGACGTGCCACAAGTCTTTTCCAGCACACTACAGTGGCGTGCCACAAGTCTTTTCAAGCACACTACAGTGACGTGCCACAAGTCTTTTCCAGCACACTACAGTGACGTGCCACAAGTCTTTTCCAGCACACTACAGTGACGTGCCACAAGTCTTTTCCAGCACACTACAGTGACGTGCCACAAGTCTTTTCCGTTACGTCAGTTTCCCACTGGATTCTTTGTTGATTTACTTTAGTTCAAAAACTTTACGTGACTCCGTTTGACATCCATGGTTTATAAAACTTGACATCCTGGAGAGTTATCAAATATTTTCTTTGGTAATATTTGTTTTATTATTCGTGGCTCAGTTATTGAGATTTGAGGTTTTTGAAGTAAAACCAATTTTCATGATGTAATACTTACCATAACTTTATGGAGTCCCACCCTGTATTCCTCCCCTTGCCTCCTCATCCTGGCTGCCTTTAGGCTCCATAAAAGGGGGTTTGAGGAAGGGAGATCACTCCGTGGCTCTGTCATCGAGATAGAGGTTACGTCACGGTAGGGAGGTAGGGATATTTGAATCTTTTGTTTTTGGGCTACAAAGATGGGTGTAGGTATTGTATATGCATACTAAAGTTATGGTAAGTATTACATCATGAAAATTGGTTTTACTTCAAAAACCTCAA